TAACATGCAAAATACCGTTGTTTCATTGCGCCTATTTGTGTGGAAATAATGCTTGCTAATGAGTTTCCAAAATAGGCACATGCGTTTGTATCAACAAAATCGATAATAAATCACGGGACTGAGTTTTTTACTTATATATAAACACTGCATCTTTTCTCTACAAATGTCATCAGCAACATGCAAATGCAAATGCTAAAGACTACTCTAACTCTAACAATGTATAACCCAACCATAACCTCTTACTATCATATCTTGAATACTACCACTTTTCAACGGCTGCATTCGCTCGCACTCGAAGCCATGCTCGGTCGGTTCGACAACGATGACGACGACGACACTATAACGTACACGAACGTCTGCTCTTTCGTCGACACTGACATAGACAACGATGAAGAAGGCCAGTCGATGGACTACACGATCACGACGAAATGACGACGAAATGACGACCCGACAACGGCGATGGCGCAATTAGCTTGAAAACCCGCCATTGCCGTTGTCTTTACCGGTCGAAAATTAATCGACCCCGGCGTCCAACACGGCCGCGGAAACCCCTGTGTATGTTTCAAATTTATAAAAGAAACTACGCAATGAGCTGGCTGGTCCAAAACAAACTAGTTCATAAAAGGGGCCAAGGATAAGTGGATGTCCGAAGGTAAAGAGGTTATGGCACAACGCCTTTGTCACAACTCGATGACGACAACGCATCGAACACAAACGCCCGACAGACAACCACAACGGGATACATACACGCTCATGTTTGCACAATTTAGCATATTCGTTTTAAAAGATGTACTTGTAAATTATCTATTAAATATGTACTTGTAAATTATCTATTAAATATGTACTTGTAAATTATCTTGTTAATAAAAAAAATAAATACACTTGCCTATCAAAAAAATTATTGCCTGAATCTGCAGAATTTGCTATTAAAACATGAAATTCGATACTTTCAAAGTCTTCTTTCACCCACTTTTTTGTAGACAACTGTCAATAAAATTTACATCATCAGGAAGCCAGTTTATTGTAGTTTATGAAAAAAGACAATTTATGTTTTAGCTATGAAGTTACAACGTAATGTTTCTTCACCCATCAATGATTTCGCGATTGCCGATCATTGATCGACATTATAATCACAGCATTAACATTAATCGTTGTTTGCATGCTTTGTTTTATTGCTTCCAATATGCCCAAGACAAAAGCGATGTGTTGGCTAACTTGTCAGATTTGATGCCAAAGAGAATAAAAGAGGTAAGAAGAGGTAGGGGTATCCCACCCCCACCCGCTACTAACATACTGTGATTATAATGTCGATCAAATCGGCAATCGAGAAATTATTCATAGCTAAAATATAAATGTCTTTTTTCATAAACTACAATAAACTAGCTTCGGATGATATAAATTTTATTGATAGTTGTCGACAAAAAGTGGGTGAAAAAAGTATCTAATTTCATGTTTTAATAGCAAATTCTGCAGATTCAGGCAATAATTTTGGTTTCTACCTCGAGAAGCCAGTGTAAGTGTAGTAATATCTTATGGAACTGGATTAATTATTACCTTGTTATCTTTTAGTCTTAGCGACATAACCGTTTATCCGACATCTTAACGTTCCTTACTCTAAAATCATATTCTACATTCTGACTCGATGTTTGACTTCTCACAAACGGAATAAAATTTTTCTTGATCTATGTTTTTGATAATGCGGCACAAAACAAATTGATCTTGTAAATGAAATGGGAGTATGGGCCTTGAATGTTTTTCTATTTGTCCTTTGCCTGCAATAAGTAACAGATTGTGTTGTTTTTCATTGGTGACGCATTGTTAGCATCTGAAAGTTGAGAATATAGTTGTACTAGAGCTGAAAACGTTGGATCTATCCGACGCTTTTTAAAGACTTTTACGTCCGGGCTGTTTTTAGAATTAATAAAATTTGGCTTTTTTTTTTCTTTCAAATTCAAGATTCAATTAAATGCTGGTCGCTATGAAAAAAAAATATCAACAAACACCTGAGCCACAGATACGAGAAAGACTATTATTCGTTTGCTCATCTACAACATAGTATTTTATGGCATGCGTGTAATTATAAGCGTTTATGTGGACGTATTCTGCGGATTAATTAATTTTTATAACTGTAAATATACTATA